TACTTTGGTCCCAGCTCTCTGCAGGTCATTGACTAGGTCCCCCCGTGTGGTTCTGGGATTTTTGCTCACCGTTCTTGTGATCATTTTGAGCCCCACGGGGTGAGATCTTGCGTGGAGCCCCAGATCGAGGGAGATTATCAGTGGTCTTGTATGTCTTCCATTTTCTAATAATTGCTCCCACAGTTGATTTCTTCACACCAAGCTGCTTACCTATTGCAGATTCAGTCTTCCCAGCCTGGTGCAGGTCTACAATTTTGTTTCTGGTGTCCTTTGACAGCTCTTTGGTCTTGGCCATAGTGGAGTTTGGAGTGTGACTGTTTGAGGTTGTGGACAGGTGTCTTTTATACTGATAACGAGTTCAAACAGGTGCCATTAATACAGTTAACGAAGTGGAGGACAGAGGAGGCTCTTAAAGAAGAAGTTACAGGTCTGTGAGAGCCAGAAATCTTGTTTGTTTGTAGGTGACCAAATACTTATTTTACCGAGGAATTTACCAATTAATTCATTAAAAATCCTACAATGTGATTTTCTGGATTTATTTTTCTCATTCTGTCTCTCATAGTTGAAGTGTACCTAGGATGAAAATTACAGGCCTCTCTCATCTTTTTAAGTGGGAGAACTTGCACAATTGGTGGCTAACTAAATACTTTTTTGCCCCACTGTATATATGTGAGGAAGATCACTTAAGATCTTTGTTGAGCAATGAAATTAAGAATGTCTCCCTCTTTGGAAGCCTGTGGGGACATTCCTGCTCTTTTTGTAGGTACAACATGTTTGGCACATTTTGCTTATTCGCTAATATAAGCTTCTTCTGGGGAGTTAGGAGGTACGCCGTGAGCTTGCGTAGTATTATTTGCATGAGTCTATTGATGGAGTATTTTTTTTTTAAGTTGCAAGAAAACGCATAAAGTGTGCAAAGCTATGGAGATACTGATTTGTTTCATTGGTGCTCTTTGACTGCCTCAACACAACTTCAAAGGAGTCCTCATCCACTTCTCCAGGGAAAAGTTCAGAGATGGTGTTTGACAGAGTGAAAAAGTACGTGTCATTTATTGTGAAGAGATGACTGTTGTAGGGACAATCCTTCATAACTTCCGCTCCTCAAACGACCAAAGTACAGGCTGAGGAAGGATGCACGCTTGACTGTGCGAGGCTTTTGAATCATTTTGAAACTTGAACCTGCACATCAACAGTTTTTTGTATCTTCAATATGGGCATTAACTTGGTGCTTTGCAAACAAAATGAGCACGTATGCTTTAGGGGGGGGGGGGGGGGCACGCTTATGATTGACAGGTCAATAACAAGCGTATGGTCTACTCTAGGTTGTCCGGTCTAGTGGTACGTTACTTAGTGAATAACTAGTGAAAGAAACCCACATCCAGCGTACCACACTTAACTTTTTAAACGGTTATGAGTCCACTATCAGGGTATACACAGTGCACTGCATTTTGCCATATTAAGCATCAGTAATGACATTGGGATGCACTCAAAACTAGTTTAAGGAGTACCTTATTTGATACAAAGCATCAAAGTCTATGGTGCTAACTAGCAAAGAATGGCATGCTACTACTACCACTACTGAAATAATTATAATACAAGTTATAATGGTTGATCAACCATCTTCTTGTCCACCCCCGATTCTTTCATGGACTGTAAAGGCTATGTTTACAGATGTAAGTCCCAATACAAAGGCTGGTTATTGCAGGAGCACTTCCCATAAAGGAAGGTACTTCAAAGGACCAGAAGGCCACGCTGAACCTGCTCCGTCTACCCAAACAAGACAATCGAGTCTAAAGCTAATTTCACCAACGCGCATTTAATTATGGGTTACAAACAAGTGCAAAGTATACACTGCTTGTGTCATTGAAATGTAGGAGAAGCTATTGAAGGGAGGACAAGCTTTCTTAGGTTTTGGTTTTGGGGGACACAGGTCCTAAAGTGGTCCATTACCACCTCTCACAGTGGCACAGCGATTCACTCACATCTGTGGGTTTTCGTGCAAGCTAAAGATACAACAAAGCAGGTTTGTTGAGATGATCCTCCTCACCCTTCCTGCTAACATGTCACTCAAAAATCAAAGAATGACTACACATCAGGTCACTGCTGTTTACAGGATATCATTTCTTTTTTTACTGTATATAAATACAAATGACTAAAGCACTTTCCATAAATGAAATATGGTAACAACAGAGTTACGGCCCGTCCACACAGCGGCGTGCGTTGACGCTTGCCGGCGGGCGTGTCTGACACTTGACCAACAACCAATCACATGAATCTCCCGCCCCAGACACACAAGCACACGGTTTGATTGGCTAGAGCTTGTACTGGCATATGATTCGATTGGCTGACGCCTCCGTCGAGGCGTCAAAAGTTGAACATTGCTCAACTTTTGAGGCGAGCAACGCCAGCAACGCTCCACGTCGCTTCCCAAAATGCAGTTCGGCTAAAAATGACGTCACCCCATTCAAAGTGAATGGGCAGAAGCGTTGGAAGCTTCAACGCACGCCGCTGTGTGGACGGGCCGTGAGGGTGTCAAAAAACGACAAACTGCAATGACTAAAACATTTAATTTTCTCCATTTTCCTGTGAAAACAAACATTTATATGATTTCTTGTGATCTTAAATAAATGATGTCATTGTCTTGATATAAAAAACATTTGTTACTACTTAAAATTAAAGTAGTATTTTAATGAGTTAAACAAGTAAATACATTTCCATAAATAAAACATAATGGGCTTAGGTCTATGTCTCTTAAAACAACATTTGTTATTTCGAGATACAGACATAAAAAACGAAATGCAATAACTTATCAATTGCAAATCAGTTGTAGATCTTTCGAATGAAAAAAGGAAAAAAAGAAATCTGCATTCATTTTGGACCCCTTCCAACACTTTAATAGACTTTAATCCTTGTAAAACGCAATGCAAAGGTTCAAAAAGCCACCCATTCACTTGGGTTATGTAAAGCAGTTTGAGTGGAATTGTAGGAAGTGAGTGGCAGCTCGTCTAAACAACTCTGCCAAATCGTGACAAGTCAGGTAGCATTCAGGAACACAGGTGACAAGTTTTCTCACGGCATCGGTACACTAAGTAAACAGTTACCTCACACATAAACTTCCTTGCAACACTGCCTGGCACCGTCCCCACTCCCTGCCTCCTCCCTTCTCAATGTGCAGCTTTACCTACTTTGCCCTGTCCATTCAATTTAGACAGCGTAACTGTTTGGTTTAAGAATCTTACACATTCCATTGGTGGATATAGGATTAGGCATTACGTTTTTTTTTTTTAAAGCTGTTGCTCTTAATTAACTAAACAAACACAGCCTTCTATTCCACTTGACGTCTCGGGTGCTGCGGTATGTGCATGAGCTAATGCTAATTATTCCCTAACGAACGCAGCAAACTGGGCTGCTGGCTAAAGCAGGCATTTAGGATCTGCTTTCTACCACACACACACACACACCACACACACACACACACACACACACACACACACACACACACACACACACACACACACACACACACACACAACACACACACACACACACACACAACACACACACACACACACACACACACACACACACACACACACACACACACACACACACACACACACACACACACACACAACACACAACACACACACACACACACACACACACACACACACACACACACACACACACACACACACACACACACACACACACACACACACACACACACACACACACACACACACACACACACAGCTTTGTATCTTTTTGTTGTAGCTGTGTTAAGAAGACTTTGCAGTTGGTTTCAAATCTCAACATTTGCAAGCTTATCTCAGAGCTGCATCATCTGGTGCAATCGGCATCTCTCCACTCCAGCCATGGATGCCATGTATGATCAGGAGTCAAGTTTTGACATGAGCGGTGTTCCAGATGAGGAATGCACCACTGGGGCCTTCACAAATACAAACGGGATCCATGCCATCAGGCTCACTCTGCACAACTAATTAAAAGCAAGGGGATTTTTCCCTGAGTAACAGGGCAACAGGGGAAGTAGGCAGGGCGGAGGGGGGTGAGGTTCTCCCAATTTCCTTTTGTCTGAGAATCACCTACGGCAACAGACTTCCCCTGAACTTAATGTTATACTAAGGACCATTCAGAGGGAGAATTATTAGTCATACTGAAATGTCCACTTAGTTGCCTTGTTTTTTTAAATGTATTTATTTGTCAAACAATAGACCACAGCCAAGAACGCAAAACATGAAATTCAGACAAATGTTGTGACACACAAATCCACCTCATCACACCACAAGTATCACCAGCGTTATCCCTGGCACTAAATATGTGCAGCTCATCCTCTCACCACCAATATAGAACAGCAACTGCAGTACTATTCCAGAGTTACTGTGGAATAATGTGATTAACCAAACACGAGCAAAACATGGCATCAACCTGCTAATCACAAGCTAGTCCCGCCCTAATGCATAACCAGCTTTATTATCTCGTTTGATGCCCTATTATGCTCTTGGTAGTTTTCCCTTCCCTGTAGTGTGTTCTATAGGTTTTTGTGCATGTAAAACATCTGCAAAGGCTAAAATCCCTGAGGTTGCTCGTTTGGTAAACTGACAATACTCACATTAAATTCAGTCTGTGTTTTACCCCGGTGTTTTTTTCTAAGAAGTTCTTGCTAAACTAACCAAAGAAGTGCCTGAGTAAACACAGAGGAATGGCAGCTCCGGGGCCCGAGACGTCACTCAAAAGCACAGCCCCCTCATCACCTCTCATCTGGGGAAAGTACCTGTGTTTATGCTTTCATCTGTCTCGTAGAATTAACTGAAACACTTTGGATCCAACCACGCTCAATGAAAGCAAGTCACATGCCATCAAACTGTATCAAGTGTTGTTGATTGATTAGCCTTTGAAACTGCAGCTCTAAAGACTTTATTGAACGGAACAAAAAGTAGCTTTTGAATGTGTAAAGGAAGGAAACAAGTCAAACGTACCACTGATGACTTTCAGCACATGTAGGGTTCAGGGACACTGCCTCCTCACCAACTCTCTTCCCTAAGAGGAAAGAAGAGATCGGGATACTTTAGATGAAGATGCTCCAAAACAAAACCAGCATTCTCAAATGACACAAGAGGGTTTTTTATTACTGAGAAAAGAAAACAGGATGTACGTTAATAAAGGCCGGGCACTGGATTAAAGCAATGAAAACAAAAGTGATACGTCCAAGAATAGAGCTCTGTTTTAAATCCTTCACCACTCAGTGGAAAGTCGAACATTCTAGCAGCTCTATTAATATCTCAGTGAATGTCAAATATGATTAGCTGATGCTTTAAATATCCCCTTCTCTAACTTGGACAAAGGTGTGACAGGAAGCACCTGGCCAGCTCTGATTAGAGGCACATTGGTGATAAAGATTTACAGAGAAACAAGTCAGTCCAGTCTGAACTTTAGCAGAATAACAAAACAGCCTATGTTTGAGATCAAAGTAAAAAGCACAATGGTATACGGAACAAAGTCTTAGTGTAATACAAGACAAACCTGGAAAGTCCTACTCTGTTTTTAAAGAGCCTTTGGGAGATCATGTTGAGTGCATAACCTATTTAAGTTTCTGGAAGATGCATTGTGTATAGCAATTTCCTTCACTTGTATGTCAAGCTGCATTCACATGAAACGCGGTGAAACAGCTCTTTGCTAACGTTACCGTTGTGTTCCTATGGAGAGATCCTCTGTGTCATGCAAATTGTTGCCGAGCGCTGCCCTAAAAGTTCAAAAATGATTTCATCTTTGACCTTGTTTACCACTGACCTTTCAAAGCTTAATCAATCAGATGACAGTTGTATGAAGTGGTGCAAGCTAGCAAGGAGTATAACCATAGAAACAAAACTTGACTAGCCGTTTTCACAGCAAGGCTCTGTGCAAAACCTGGAGGTGAGCAAAACAATTATTGCATATCATGTAAAGGCAACTTAAGCCTAGGCTGTCTGTAGAGTATACATTTTCAGCCATGACAGATGCATATTCAATCAACTGTATGCATTGTGCTACAATGTGAATAGCAACAAATAATACATTTTCCAAATGTTTAAAGAGGCCCTATTATGGTTTTTGGGTTTTCCCTTTCCTGTAGTGTGTTCTATAGGTTCTTGCCTCCATTGGATTCCTTTGTTAACTTCCGTAACATCACTGTAACACTTACACTCCTTAAAGCCCCTGTCACACTGTCCCGAAGTTGACACCCGATGGACACACGAATATGGAATTGTGAATTTCGCACGAAGGCAACATTTACATTACATTTAAGACATACAACTGCAACGAAAGTAACAAAAACAATTATGTTACAGTACTATGATACTGTACTGATATTTTCAGACTTTGTTCTTTACTTTATTCGTCTTTATATGTAGAAAATATTAAGTTTTCTCCGTCATGTTGTTTCCATAGCAACAACAACTTTCTGTCAACTCGCCTTCAAAATAATATATTATATCCTTTTTAGTTTCACAGAACATAAATTGGGTTATTTACATAATATATTTACACGATTTTGTTGTGCAATAAAACAACCAGATGGACACAGGATAAAGGAAATGTTCAAATTCAGCTGTGATCGTAGCAACATCGGGCCATTCGTGAGGGCATCTTAAGCCATCGTATGACCGCCGGTGGAGTTTCTCAGGCTCCGGCAGCAACTTCGTGAGCGGAGGCAAAATCTTTGGCATACCAAAAAATTGCCGAAGGACCTTGCGAAGGTTCATTTTCGTGTTGAATTCGTGTGTCAATTTTGCCCTTCGTAAGGCCATCGTGAGGGCATCGTGTTATCATCGGTGCCATCGGGCATTCGCCCCGATCAGAGTGAGGGTGAATGCACCGATGATAACACGAAGATGACACGATTTGACAAGATGCCCTCACGAGTGCCTTACGAAGTTGCCGCTCACGAAGTTGCTGCCGGAGCCTGAGAAACTCCACCGACGGTCATACGATGGCTTAGATACCCTCACGAATGGCGCCATGTTGTTACGATCAGAGCCGAATTTGAACATTTCCTTTATCGTGTGTCCATCGGGTGTCAATTTCGGGACAGTGTGACAGGGGCTTTAGGCTAGTACCCCATATGACATGCTTCAATATCATATCACCATATTTAGATTCTTATATCTCTATAGAGTTACTGTAAAGATTGGATTATTACATTCATGGGGTAGGAAAAAACTATTGGTTCAGTGATCTCAATCAACACTATAAAAACCTTGCAGGAAGTTATTGCGTGAGTTCAGTTTTTTAATAGTTTACATATGACATCATTTGATTTTCCTGTAAGGCTAGTACTGACGCTCTGGAAAATCCCATGTTATCAACGTTTTGTTTTCTTACAGTAAAGTGAGATCACTACTGCTGAATTCTTTCTTCTCAAAGCCATTTATTGGTTTGTTTTTTTTCAAATTCCAACGCATGTGCCAGAATATTTGCAGGCACCACAACACCTGTCCCTATTCATTGTAATTGTTTAGGGGGGCATTACCTATGGCAATAATAAACAACTAGCCACACACAACTTCAATGTATGATCATGTGAGAGTCATCATTGGTAACACCTGGGTAAGAAGAGATTTGGATGTTTGGTGCAGCTGGATTTGACTTTATATAAGTACAAATAAGAGAATGTTGCTGCATGAGGACCACTGGCTTTGATTTACAACCAAAGATGTTTCTGGAATTACTGCAAATGTCTCATCTGATCCAAGTTATTGTTTCTAACAATTCATTGTAGGTCAACTACTCAAATTAACTGACTGGAGGAATATAGATTTGCATTATTTTTGCATGAACCAGATGAAATACAGCATACACCAGCTATGGTCATGATGTTATAGTAACTCCAATCTAGAGTGGTATGCTTGGTGAATGAGGTGCATCACATGGTTCAGTAGATTACCAGTTTCTGCATGGGTCTTCTTCTCCTCCAGAGTGGAGCTGATATCATGGACATCACAGTACGCTCGGATCAGCCGCCAGAGAAATAATGAGTTCTGTCCAAACTGCAGAAGAACATCAAAGTGTTATACACACTGTTGTGGTGCAGGAATGAGTCCTAAAACCCAGATATGAGTTAGCATTTAACAACTTCCTGGCTCCTGGTCTTGAAGTCAATAGTTGTTCAATGTGATTTATGTTAGGACTAAAAATAAAAAACTGTTGTTTGGTAAACACAAGTTTACGATTTTCTTTTCTTAAAAAAAAAAAATCAAGAATCATTAAGAAATGTGACTATCAGTACATATAGTGGAGTACGAATGGGTCCTAAAACGCGGATATTCATTATCAATACTTAAATACTTCCAGATCCCTTGCCTCAAAGTAAAAATGATCTTGAATGAATGAGTTCTGGGATTAATAAGAGCTAGGAAATGGTCAAATGTTGTTGTACGACATAGGAAACTCCAGTAAATACCCGACTTGTGAGTTTCCAAAGCTTGTATATGAAATACAGTGGTTGTCTAAATGAGACCAGTAAACGTCATCATGTTAACATTAACTGACTTTATCTTAGCAATGGAGGTGATCAGTCATGCGTACATGATGTAGTTTGTTTATAGCAGGTAGCTTTAATTCTGGCGACTACATTTAAACTTCAAAATCATAAAGTGACATTAATATGTGGAGACTATTCTGCTAAACAAAAGTATTATAAACGTGTGTTTGTCACAGATCCTATCTTAAAAAGCAATATCCTAAAAGCCAATTGAAAAATCCCATTGACATTCTGTTGAAGGAACCCTTGCAATGCAAACTTCTGGGTTGATCTACAAAAAAAACCGTCCTCACTGCACCACTCTATTTAGCTACAAATACATCTGTATATGAAATGTATGCAGGACTCAGCATCAACTTTAACAAACCTCATCCCTGTTCTCCAGAAGGAGTTGTAGACTTTCTCTTTTTTCAGAGTCTGTACCCTGGTGCAAAAGCTCGATCCTCTCCAGAAGAACACGGAGCGTGTCTACGGGTTGTTCTTCATCGCTCTGTTCTGCATCACTGGGCTCTTCTTCTTCATCAGAGTCTGTCAGTGCGGTCATATACCTGAAAGCATAAAACAAACACAGATGACCACGTGTCAGGAAATGGAAAGGTGTACCTTCAGTTTGCAGTAAGCATCTGCAGTTAAATGAACTCAATAACACGTAACACTGAGCCAGGCTGTCTCCATCCTGCTATCAGCAACATGAGAGCATCTTCAGGTAGCATGAATAAACAGCGTCAATGATGCCAGCACCCTTTAGTCAGAAGATAATGGCCTGAGTTCCATCTTCAACTTGTGAGGTGGAATAAAAACCCCTCAGCTAAGGAGTTTTTTCCAGATCAATCAAAACCCTGCCTCAAGCGTTTTTACAAGCCGATTTCTGACAGGTACTGATTTGAATCAATCTTCACAGGCTGTTTGTGCATGACAAATAGCATCATTGTCTGTTTACATAAGTGAGTCCCTTAATTGTTTATAATACTAACTGTTAAGAAACTATTGACGTCTTAAGGTTGATACCCAAAGGCTTTTCAGGGAACACAGGGAGGCTTGTTTGTCGGAGTGTGGCACGCAACACAGGCATTATATGTTTAATGGTGCCCTTTCAAACACTGTAAGCATGTACAAACACCCTGAGCTAACACTTAAAAAGCAGCAGTTAACTGCTATATTAATGGAACAGGTAAAAATGAAAGACATAAACAAGGGTGAAAATATGAAAAGCCTCTATTAAGTGTTGGCAGCAGCTGCATGTGCGTCATTGGTGGTTAAAGGGAATATGTTGGGCTGCGAGCCATGGTACTGGAGGGATGTGTCGGAGCGGGCCACAGACAGAAACACCGCGGACCCAACAGGTGCCTCGTGCCAGAGGCTGCTCCCCGACTCCACCCCACAACACACACTTTCAACCCTGAGTGCCATGATTACAGGAGTATCAGCAGGGCATTTAAGCTGTAAAAATGTTCTTCAGTCAACACAGGGACTTTCAAGCATATCGCACTAAATTCAACATAGGAAATTCCTCCGACATGGTGCGCAGAGATGAAGGAATTCTGCACTAACATGTTGCATTCAAGTCACAAAGTATGCTCATCCTAAAGCGAACCGGGATTTATCTTCAATATACCTTAAATAGGACCATCATTAAGTATTGTAACATCATGCAGCAATGGAGTGGACTTAAAACGTAGGATTGGGACCATAAACTGAGTAGGGAAATGTTTACTCAGGTAAAATAATCTAAGTGGGCACATTTGCTCATAGACTTTTATACAATCGAAAATCTTTTTGCAACCAGTGAAGAAAATGCTACCCTTATGAGTGACTAGTTTAAATAAGATGTATTTATTCAGTATTGTTTTATTAACAATGACTTTGCACCGTCCCTCAAATCAGACAGTTAAACAGATATTTGAATTCCAATTTGATTTGATGCAATGATAACATTTGCATTGCTATTATTGTTAATCAGTTAAAAACACATTCAAATAACAACAATACTGTATAGTAATAGATTCACTGCACAATATTCCAGTTAAAACATTTTCTTTTAGATCAAGTTTAAGTAATTATTTTAGTATGGGGTGATTTTTCAAAAGTACATTTATTTTACAAAAGTATGTTAATCTTTCAGAAAATCTAGTTAATGTTGAAAAGTGAAGACGTTTTTTTTATCAAAAATATTGACAAATATTGTGGAAGGCCATATTGCGATTAGGATGACATTTTTCAGCACTAGTTTAGGCATTAAGACATAAAGTGAGAACTGTTTGACCAATGATTGCACTTCATACACAGCCAGTAGCTCAGTAGGGAATGGAGAATCACTGTTACCTTTAAGGGAACCTATCATGCAATGCACTTTTTGATGTCTTTTATACATAAATATGTATATCATTGAATTTTGAATGAATTGAGCCGTCCCTTATAGGTACTATCTCTTTACGTATTAGTGATGGGAATTCCGGCTCTTTTTAGTGAGCCAGATCATTTGGCTCGGCTCACTAATGGCGCATTTCCACTACAGCGCGGAGCACGGTTTAAGCATTTTTGGTTGCGTTTCCACTAGGCGTAGTTCCGGCTAGCGGGTACTTTTTCACAGTTTTTCTGGCTCTCCAAAATCGAGGTTCTTTCTGGGCCAACAACCGGGCTGAGTATGCTAAACTAGTGAGAGAATCGCTGGCAACTACAACAAGATGAACATATTTTACCGTGATTTAACTGTAATACACGTTTCAAAATGATGCCGAAGTAACAACATACTGATACCGGTTAGTAAAAACCATGAATTAATGCTTTGACAAGTCTGCAGACAGACGGCAGGCGAAGAACCTTTTAAAATGCGTGTTTTCTGAGTGAAGATCGGGTAAGCTAGTGCAGTATATGCTCCGACCGTCCACACTCACAACAACGGCCTACAGACATAAATAAACCAGCGGCTGTATTCGCCATGACACAGGCAGTCTGTGGTTTGTACTTGTTTAACTTTTGTCTAGTTTCTGAACAGATATGAAGAGCTGTGAGCTCTGAGGGCTAACGGCTGATGTTGGTTTTGTGTTTCGCATTGAAGATGACGTCACGGCTCCGCCTACACTGCGTTACTATAGATACTACTCCAGTTCCTAAACTGTAATGGAAACGCAGCATAAAGTGAGCCTGGCCTAACAAGGCCTAACGAGGCCTAGTCATACCGTACTAAGCCAAGCGAGGCCCTGCAGTGGAAAAGCACCATTAGAAGAGCCGGCTCTTTCGGCTCCTAAACGGCTCTTCATTTTTACCAGTTTACCACGGAGCCTCAGTTTCGGATATGAGGCATGGCTAGATATGAGGCATGGCTAGATATGAGGCATGGCTAGAATGAGTGATCTATTTGGTATTTTGAGCAAAACACTTATATATCTGAGACCTATGCTATTATAAAACATAGCATGATAGGTGACCTTTAAAAGAAACCAGACTTTACAGAATCTTTATTTTAATCTCTATTTGTGTTTATACCGTCGTTTTGAAATAGTGTGCCAAATCCCCATCCCTGCGCTAACCCCAGAGTAAACCCCAAAACCTACAGGCAAGGCTCCAACCATTTATTGGCCAACACACCCCAACTTAACAACAACCTGAACGTGTGTGTTTTTGCCTTTACTCTAACTGTTGTGGTCACCCTTTTGTTGTCTGCCCGCACCACGCCTTGCAACGAGCGCGCCTGGCTACAGCTAGATAGTGACATTATTGGACTTGTGTCATTCATTCATTCCGCAATTCATTCATCCTTTTGTCTTTTTATTCATTCAGCAGTCCGTTTTCCCTCCCTCCCCGCAGTTATTTACTCAGTGGAGCTGGAGAGACAGGCAGCAGAGTGCCGAGGGATCAGCGCATTCCTGTCACGCCATTCCACGGCCCATGAATCACCTGAGTTGAAAGAAAAATAAGCTAAGGATCTGTTTGTATTACCGTGTTTATGTAATTTATGCAGGAACCATTATTGTCCATGTAATGTTACAGCAGTGCAGTGTTATAGAAGTGCAGAGCTGTGAAAGAACAAGTCTAAATGTTGTCGTTAACACTGACTAAGTACATAATATACCAGCAGGCTCTGCTGTGACTCACGCAGAACAGGAAGTTATATTATTTTCTGCAGGAAAGTTCAGATTTTAGCAGCACAAAATTATGACAAATCTAAAATAAAACCTTAAAAAGCATTAAAAAACATATTTGTCTGTGATGCACATGGACAGGCACCACAAATACAAACAGCACTTGAAGCACATAAAAAACACTATCTGACAATTGGGAACCATTTGCGGTTTCACAAATGTAAGCAGGTTTGTGAGTTGAGTTTTCAGTGACTTGAGTAATGAAAACAAATATGTTAGTAATGTAATGATGCTAGTTTCATTGATAATAATTATAATAGATGAAGCATTTACTAGAAGCACTAGAAGGGCACTTGGGAACCATGCACCTCATTATACCAGTCAGTGCCAGAATCAGTAAATCTGTTGCTTGTTGAAAACACAGCCTGTCTTCCACTTTGTATTAGGCAACAAGAAACAGTATAACACATCCACCAATGCTGTGTGTAACCTTGTAACACTCTAGCTGTGTGCTCAGATCAGCCATTCAGTCCACAGACCCCAAGGGGCAATGAAGGGATCTCTCAGTAGAGCTTAGCAATGGTTGTCTCCGCGGTTACACCGTTCAAAACAAACCCCAGTTACCATCCCAACATCACCGGGCCTTGGAACATGCAGACCAGCTTATTCAGCTTGTGTAGCTGTGGTGACAGGACCAATGAAAGCCTGCTATACAACAATGACTGCCTGACTGGAGAGAGTCCAGCTACCTATTCTCTGCTCCCTACGCCCCTGCCGCCCTAAAAGGATGGGCAGGGACTGCCTCTTTAGATGTACTTTCCCACTGATCAGCTGCCAACTGTCATTCATTTACATGACACAATAGTTTCAATTCTACCCAGTTGCCATAAATAGAAATGTTATTAGGATGTTGCAACACTTTGTTCCTAAAATAGCAGGAGCAAGAAAAACAGGGTATTTACCCAACTGTTTACACATGACGTTTGGTTTGTCATTCCGAATGACATGGGTACAGGAAGCAGGATGACATTAACTCATTCAGAGAATTAATGAAAGGAAATGAGTAATATATATTTAATTTTTCACATGCACCCGTTTGCTGCAGCTGAAAATGATGCTCTGAGAGCAGTGACAATCAACCAATGCAAGAATTCTTGGCCAGAAAATCAGAATAGTGTACCGATTACTGATGGACAGAATACTTATTTTTGATTTGAAAAATCATTACAACAAACAGTGATTGTGATCACTGGTCATATTTAGATTTGTTATCATGTTGCTAAGGGAAACTGCTGAGGGAAACTGCTGAGGGAAACTGCTGAGGGAAACTGCTGAGGGAAACTTGAACCCTGTCCTAAGAACATGCAAGAAGATCATTTCTGCAAGACTTTGGATTCTTACGAGTCATCTTGGTGACAACCATCCACTCAGGTTAGGGTTATAGTACATTTTCATTTATAGCATAT